TTCTAAAAATATAATAAAATACAAAACTCTCTGCCGTAATTGTTTGTGGAAATCATTCGATCAAGTAAAAATGACTGCGTGAAAAGACGAATCAACTATTTATACCCGATAAAAGAAACTGCCGTATTTTAGGAACAGTGCTATAACAAGACATTTGAAATTTCTAACAAGCAGATACATTAGAGACAGTGACTAGACTACAGGTACGTAATCCGTATCAATCAAAGGTGTAAAAAAACTGAAAATCATATCTGTCGGAGACCTACCAAATTACCAAGTTTTATCATTACTATATTTATTACAATGCAAATACTTTAGTGATACATTTTTTAGAGGAGAGGGCATACACACAAGTATATTGCTTCCGTGTGTGAATGCAGGTTGTACTTGGTATCTCAGTTCTCAGTTTCATACCGGTTGTATAACTGAATTTGTATATGGAACCATGCGTACAGCATGACAATTACTTGCTATTCGTCAGTTTACAACACACATAACACGGTCAAAACATTTTAGGCACCGCTTTTGCGAGTTATTTAGTACAATAATGTTTTATTAAAATCTATTTCAATTTGTTTTCACAATTTTCCCTATTGACAGTCGTTGTTACGTGCGTCACTAGGTAATTAGTACGAAGAGAAGAAGAAGAAAGAAGAAAATTATTTTATTTTCGTGTCACACACTGTACAGCAGTGACAATAAAAATACACAAATAGTGTGTACAGTGTCCGGCCATTATGGCCTACGAGACACGCAGGACATCACATACATATGAGTAAAAATGAGAAATATCACAGTACATACATATACATAAAAATGAGTTATCACCAGTTATCACCGGTTATCACCAGTTATCAGAATATTCTGATACTAAGATACATGGAACTAGGCTGGTAGAGACGAAAGACACAGTTGTCTTCGCTCATACATGTGGTGAAGAAGCGCGGCTAGGGGTCTGACCACCTTATTGTTCCGCATAAAGAACACGGTCTGATCGGCAGCGGACATCTGTATAAAGTTTGGATTTGATTGAGAAGCTAAATTCCATAAATCATAGCGTAAATCTGTATAGAGAGAACATTCAGCATAAAAGTGTATTTCATCCTCAACAGCATTGCAATTACAGATTTACACATACGTTCAATAAGCGGTGTTTTCGGGCGGGTGAATCTTCCCAATTCTATTTCTAATGGCAGTGAGCCGCAGCGAAACTTACTTAATATACTGCGCTGACATCTGTTCATCAATAAACTGACATAGGGTTCTACTGATAAAGAATCTTTAAATAATCTGTATGTACGTAACTTATTACCATTTACCTGGCCCGTATCGTTCCAGAGTCCATGTAACCAATCAGAATGGTCTAAGGATAACAGACATACTTTAGACAAGTTAAACTCTTCAGTAGAAATATTATTTAGATCATAAATTGGTAAATGTAAACTGACAAAGTAGTTGAAAACTGTATTATTCCAGGATCTACGGAATTTTACTGACCATCTGCAAATAATACTCAGCATTCGGGATTGATCTGCAGCATGCAAACTGTCTTTCTACCGACTGCTAAGAAAAATCTACACGCTCGGTTTTGGACAGCATTTATACAGCTAAATTCCTTAGTTCCCCAAATTGCCGATCCATAAGATAAGATAGGCTGGACCAAGTTATTGTACAAAGTTGTAAAAATGTTATAAGCTAAACCACCAACTCCTTTGAATTACAAATTATAACACCAAGTGTCTATTTGCAGATTTAGCTATTTCTTTAACTGTAAAATTCAAATCAAGATGTTCCTGTAGCCAAACATCTAGGTATTTATAAGCGTGAGTACTTACAACCTGGTCAGACCCAATTGTAAAAACAAAATCGGACATTTTAATGTAACTGGGACGATAGTGCACAACTTTAGTTTTCTTGATGTTGACAAGTAAGCGCCAACGTGCGCACCAGTTTGCTACACAGTCTAACATCCGCTGTAAAGAGTGCTCGTCAGGTGCTACGAGAGCAACATCGTCAGCATACATTAGGATACTCAGCATGTCAGTGTCCAGGTGGATACCACAGTGTAAGCTATTAATTTCAGCAGCTAAATCATTTATAAATACAGAGAACAAAGTTGGTGATAAAACACACCCTTGGCGTACACCTGAGTCTACTGGAAAGCGGTCTGTGTGGTGATCTCTAACACATGTCCAAGTATCGTCATACATTGCCTGGACTGCTTGAAGAAAATTACCGTTAACACCAATGTTCATAAGTTTATACCATAGACATTTACGATTAATTTTATCAAAAGCTTTCATAGCATCAATGTAACACACAAATGTCGATTGTTTTGATAGTTTCCTATTATTTATCACTGTGAATAAGCTGTAAATGTGCTCTTGTGTACGGATTGACCGTGTTTATTGTTTCTATACTTTGAGGATTTCTGTGGCAAGTGGCGGACGTAATTCAAACTCCTTCCGCACTGACACCGCATCAAATATATTTGTGTACCGATTACATAACTCTAATGGACAGGGAGGGGTGGTAGTTCACCGGACGACACTGTGTATATTGAGCGGCTCCTTTGATATCTCCTCCAAACATACGTTTATTGAATGACCCCATTAAACGATGATACACATCTCGATGAATATATCAAGGCACTAATTCATCTTTCATAAACATTTTTTTGTCTTTGTGCTTAATATATCCACATATCAACGAACATTTGTAAAACATGTATCCTCAAAAAAATAAACATTTTCAGGCTAGGTATTTGCCCACAGCAACACCTGCATAACTGTTTATTCACGCGTGGTGTGGTAGATCGTAATTGACAGAGAGCAGGTATTGTAGAATAACATGTAAATAAGGCCGACACTGTAATTAGATACAACGTACTAATGAGAATTATCATAAGAAGGCTGTTGTTTTTTCTGAACTGTTACCATTTTCATGCCAAAAGTGACAATGCAGTTAAAAGTTGCTTTAGTGTCACAATATTCACTCACGTTTTCCTCAATCGCATTGAAACATAATTCCCACTGGTCTGTTCGAAACCGCATGTAATTAAATAATTATTTCGAGATTTCGTTAGAATGTAAGATATTCAAGCAAACGTTATGCAATAAAAGACGAATAGTTTTTTTCATTAAAATACGCGCACGCGTACCTGTATATTGCATACCTAGCGTCACGTAATTGCCCAGTGTGATGTATCAACGGGACATAAAATGGGAAATGAAATAGAAACTAACTAAAATTTAATGTTGTGGAAAATAACTCCAATGAATTGGAGTACACGCACATGAATTCGTATGATAAACTGTCAAAACGTTTTGAGAGGTAAGGCCGGGTTCATTAAAGATCGCTACAATATGTAAAACAGGTGAAATTTGTAGAACTAAAGGAAACATCCAACCAAATGCCCTTTTTAAATAGTAATGTAATGATATAATATAAAGTATATTTCACATGATACAATATACTTTGCAAACAGTTAGTTGATGCTTGAAAGGGACTGACGAAAACATGGGCGAAATATTTTAATAACGCCATAAAATAGTTGAATTAAGTAAAAATTAGTTAAATTTTGTGTCATGATCCTTGAATAAATACATTTAACGTATTTGCGAAACAAAAACATGAGTTTTGAGTTAAGGAACATGTTCTCGCCCATGGGCCTGCCCATGGGCCAAACCTTTTTCTCGCCCATGGGCGAAATATTTCAATATCGCTATAAAATCGTTGAATTAAGTTAAAATGAGTTTAATTTTGTGTCATGATACTTCAATGAATACATTTAATGTATTTGCGAAACAAAATCATGAGTTTTAAGTAAAGGAACATATACTTGGTATGTTCCCATGAAAACGGCATGTTTAATTTTGTAAATACCTTTAACCGAGACTGGGCAAAGAGCGTAGAGTTTCTGGACTTTTGGGTTTCCAGAATTAAAATGGGACGTGTTAATTCTATATCGAGTTATTACACCTGGGTAATATGTTCGGTTGTTTTGAAAAAACATATTCGTAAAGTTGCTTCTATAACAGTGAAATGAGATTGTCACCGTTTATGAGGGGAATGCTTTACATGCGTTTTGTCACACACTTCGTTCACAGTGTCAAGACTAATTATGGCAACAACAACAACAACAACAGCAATAATAATAATAATAATAATAATAATAATAATAATAAAAAAAAAAATTTCAAGACTACACCGGTCAATGGATCAGTGTGCACTCCATTTTCATTCTCAGCTCCACTGGGAGTATGGTTTCAAACTGCCTATTCAGGCTCTGGTAGGTAAACAGTCACATTATCAATTCCTCCTTCCGGGTACCCTTTAACTGATGGTAAACAGACTGAGGCACATTTCGAACATTGTCACATATTTCGAGACACCACATGTAACGTGTGTTTCAGTTCGGGGCAGGACCGAAGGTCTGGAGACACTCAAGTTTACTGAACAAAACGGTGCGACTATATAAGAACATAAAATATAAAATACATAAGAAAGAAATTTGGTATATGATGTCAACGACTTGTCTCAACTTAACATAGAGTGTATAACGATTAAAAGAGACGACTGTTGTTGAGATTGGTGTCTGTTTGGGAGAATGTCCTCAATCTCGCGATTATTTTCGCACGTGAAGCTTCACGTGCGAAAATAATCGCGAGATTGAGGACTTTCTCCTACTTAAAACAAAGTTCGATCAAGTTAATGCCTGAAACTAATATTAACGTTAAAGTGATGTTCACTATACTATGCTAGACTATGGGAGGGTGACCGCTCTTGTTTAACTATGGGAAGGGAACCTTTCAAGGAAGACTATGGGACGATTTAGTACCCATACTCAAACTACTGGAGTGTTAGCAAAATGATCGCGTCATATCCAACTGTCATTAAAGTTCACGCAACTTTGTTTTAAGTTATAAGACGAGCACACAAGACAAATACAGGTGAGAGTTATAACAAATATAATCAAAGAAGACACAAGATAAACTCACATGTGTAGTCAACAGAGACTGCCAAAACCACCACAGCGATACAAATAGGTAGGTAGAGCGAGCCAGCCATTTTGTACACCTGAAACCCCTCGTGTTGAAAAGCAAACAATATGCCTGTATTCAATTCAGACGGATCATCAAAATATAGAACGCAAGGTGCGGCTCGTCGCGGGTACTCGATACCGTGCGTTTTGGCGCACGTTTTCTTTGTAGTGTTTCGAGGCTATTCATTCGTCACGAAACATGTGGGCGTTATGGCCGGTGTTTGATAGCGGATGTGTGTGAAGGGGTGGAGTTAGTGTTACTGTTTGGTGGCTATACATAGAGCGTTGTAAGCGATTGTTGTGATCAGGATGGTACCTGTATTTAAGTTGAGGTTAAAACAAAGTTACGTGAACTTTAATGATAGTTGGATAGACGCAATCATTTTGCTAACACTCCAATGTTTTGAATATGGGTACTAAATCGTCTCATAGTTTTCCTTGACACGTTCCCCTCCCTTAGTTAAACAAGAGCGGTCACCTTCCCGTAGTATAGCATACTATAGTGAATATCACTTGAAGATTAGTTTGAGGCATTAACGGCCTCGAACAAGCTTCACGTGCGAAAATAATCGCGAGATTTCGGACATTCTCCTTTACATAACCCTGAATGTGTACTTGCAAAACAATGGAAGTCTCAACCTAGATAGCCAAAAAACATTAATGAAATGAAACTCAGGAAATTAAGAATTGATAGTTTATATGCACACTTTGTTAATATTGTTTAGTGTGCTATGATAATTGATAATTGTTCGGCCCGGTGTGTTCTGCTTTGATGTATGCTCAATAACCAATTTCCTGCTTTTCAGCCAAATATATTTATGTAAATAACTGGTACACGGAATAACTTAATTAATTCATTGTGAAATTTCAGAATTTTATTACTTACCTTACAACATTTGTGTGCAATTGTGTGATTCAATGAGTTGTGGTCTTGCATTATAACCAATTTTTTACATTTTATTTGAGCAACAATATATTCAGATTGAAATCTACGCCTGGATTTGTGTAGGGCTGACCTCGCTTTCACCGATATCACTGCGGGGGCGAATGGTGTCTCCTGATAACTGAATATAATACAATTTATGTTGAAACGTCACTCTATGTCTTTTAATTCAGTCCTATAAATTTATAGAATTATATTTAAAAAATAAAATAAAATACGTCATGCGTTATATATATTATGTCTGAGTTAGAGTATTTATTGTGAGTCCCCGTTGTGAGAGAGAGAGAGAGAGAGAGAGAGAGAGAGAGAGAGAGAGAGAGAGAGAGAGAGAGAGAGAGAGAGATACGAAATACACACACGCAAAAACACAAATATAACCCCCATGTTTTTTCATGTTTATTTTCTATATACACTTAAGAGACGAGACAGATAGATAGACGGATAGATAGACGGCCAACACACGCACACACGCACACATATCCCATATATATTTTCTATATACACAAAAGAGTTGGGCGGTACATGTAACAGAACTGTTCTCAGTTACATAATTGAAACCAATGTTTGCAGACTCGAAGCGTATTATCATACTTGGATGGAGTCCTTCTTGCGTGAATTATTCGTACCAGGAAGACGCATCACTGCTCATTTGATAGCTACATGAAGTTTATTTGCCACAATCGTATTGGAAGTTCCCAACTATTTATAAATAAAAATGTTTGTTTGTGCAACTTAGGATGAGTTCTTAAAACGTCTGCAATATTATGTCAAATTAACCTACTTATCTTATCTACTATATCTTAAATATAAGCCCGTTAAAAGCAGTGTAACGAAGAGACATCCAGGAGCGACATTTGAACATTTAATCTAAAAACTTGATAAAAATTAATACCTTCCTCCAAAAAACGCTGGGTTGAAGGACTTTCCGATATACGGTTTATGTCATACAAGTACGGGGGTAATGCCTGCGATTGCACCAGGACAGCACCAAAACTTTCCCCGTGTCGCATCAGGAGTGAGTGAGTGAGTGCGTGAGTGAGTGAGTGAGTGAGTGAGTGAGTGGGTGAGTGGGTGGGTGGGTGGGTGAGTGAGTGAGTGAGTGAGTGAGTGAGTGAGTGAGTTAGTGAGTGAGTGAGTATGGTTTCACGCCGCCCCACTTAGTGAGAGAAACACGCATTAAAGTGTCGCACATCACATCAAATAAAATATCATTAAATGTCAATAAAAAAAATAATATAATTAATAATAATGTCTCCCAACATGATGTTGTGGGGATATTGCTAAAAGCGGCGTACAATCCCGCACCAGCAATCATTCCATCCCGCTTTAATAGTCACTGAAGCGTGAGTAAAATATACTCTGGACAAGAGTTCTACCCAACACGTGTACGAACACAAGACACGTGCTCGTGTGGAAGGTAAATATTAACGAAGCAGTTCTAGAGTTAAACATATTTGTGAAAAATGTGCCTAACAACAGGCAATATGTTTTTGTCATAACATAGAGGGCCTCTGGAGTATGTAAATCCAAATATAAATAAATATATACATGTTATTTTTGGGTTCCTTTATTAAAGTATTCTTGAATGACTAATGTTAATCTAAAGTAATTGCTAAAAGTACTCACGGAAATAAAAACAAACTGTTTTTTCGATCTCAGATTTTAAATAAATGCAGTTAATATACAAAATATATAAATATTCAAACAACTCAGTTAGTACTAATTAGGCCTTGGCACAAATACAGCGTATCAAAGGTTTTTATGTCTTTTTACACGTAAAGGTGTGTAAAAATATGAACAAAACAGACTATTGTGAAACTGAGCATAACCAGGTGTTGGTAGATCAAGGTGAATGTCCATGACCTATGACACCTTGACGACAGGTGACAACAGGTGCTTGAAACCCACGTGCATGTGAATTGTCAGTGGTTAGTGATTTGTGATTGGCATTGTGGAATAGTGAATCATCGTCAAAATATCAGAACGTAAAAGTAACATATTCCCTTCTTAAACAACAACTTACATGTCATTATTATTATGTACATAAACATAGCTGTTATTTTTATTGTTGTTTTGATAATTTTTTTCCAGGCTTATTTGCATAATGCCTATAGCCTGTTTCTGCCATGTCAATTTGGACTTGTTTTATTTTTGAATGTTGAAAGAGCCTGCAAATTACCTCCGGTAAAGTACATTTTGTATTGAGCACTGAGATAAAACTAGCAAATCAGGACTAGTACTTTTCCAGTTGTTTTGTTATTTCGTATTTACATCTACGTAATGCTTTGTGTCGATTATTAAATCCAGCAAAACATTTTTTTTCCATTTCCATGAGTACTTTAATGTAGCAATTAATGTCAGATTCTGAGACACAACTTTTTTCCAGGTGCTTGCACAAATCCTCGGGGTGCCTGTTATTTGAACCTGAAAAGTGCATACCGTATTGCCTCAAATAGACGCCGGGACTCTAATAGACGCCGGGACTCTAATAGACGCCGGGACTCTAATAGACGCCGGGTACAGGAGGTGATGAGAACCACACAGCTCACACAGAATGCCCTCAAGGAGCTGACCCTTCCTGTCCCCATCCCCTGACAGGGTCTTCATGTAGTCATCCCCTTTATCTGATAAACAGAGATTATTTATTCCATTCAGTATGACAAATGTGTTAATTGGGTCATTAACTAATGGACACCTGAAAACTATGTATACAGAGAAATTATATGAACTATTTAAAGAATTATTCAAAATAATAATTCTTTCGTTGCGTGAAGGGTAATATTATTATTTTCCTTGAATTGATTGTAATAATCTCTTCCTCTGATTTCCACAAGCAGCTCTAGATCCCCCCCCCCCCCAGTCAATAACCAAGCCCCCCGCCCCCCACCTCCTTCCAACCATGACCAACAGGAAAAGCCTCCTTGCTCCTTTTCCATACTTGATAATTGTCCCACTTGCAATGGTTCTGCGGTGAAGAGGTGCAAGGAGGAAGCTGCCAAGATTCAGCTTACTTTTTCTTTGCGCAAAACAGCTTGAACCGCAATTCACTTCTCAATAAGTATCCTTGTGCTTCCAGTGAAGCAGCTGACGGTATCACAGCTTGTAAACGGGATTGACTAAAAGTCGGGCAATTACGCAATACATATCTCATCTTCAACATCTTTGTTGTATGATAGTTTGTTACAGTTGTGTACGGGGGCACGGTTGGCCAAAGTCGCCTTATGCGCTGCAATTCGCTGTGCAGAGTGGTGTCCCTTGGGCACGCCAGAAACCTATGACCTGTGTTCGAATCCCGGTTCGCCCCGATTATGTTGTCAGCACTATACACGTGCTCATGGGTTTCACCAAATTGGTGAACGTCTAATACCTGCATCACTTCGGGCTTCCCTTCAACATCAAGCTGACACGCCGTGATATAACTGGAATTATACTATACAAAGCGGCGTTTAACCCATATCACTCACTCACTACTCCTGTGTACGGTTCCGTTTGGTTAACTGGGTTTGTGTTGTGATTACTTCCTACTTAAATTTGTGGTATGTTTAGAAGAATGTTCAAGCCAAACATCGTGAATATAACATGCAACCGAATTATTTTTCAGGAGAATAATTGCAAACAAAGGGCCAACATGTTGATTTCCAATGTATCCAGAAGCAAAGATCTTCTTCGGGTGTATAATCTCTGCAGGAAGTTAAAACAACTGTCAATACAATAAACCACGCAGAACCATAAACCGCCGTATGAAACGGTATGAATCATATTTTACATATTTTACAACCACTTGAAACTGTGCTCAAATCTGCACAGCAAGCACCATACATGTGATTGTGAAGACAACGTATTACAAATATCTGATATCAAACCCGTTGTTTTACATGTGTTGTTTATTGAACAAGGTCATGCTTCATAGAAGCCTGGTATTTAATCGTGTTGAACAATAATTTGCAATAGCAGTGTGAAGGGAGAACGACGCGTTACGCGTTACATGCTTGACCTTAATTCCTCCCTGTAACCATTCTCGCTGGTTGCCTGAATAACACACGATACATTGCAAAGGTAGTGCGCAAAAGAGCTATTCGGGTAAGGGAGATAATCACTCACTCTCAGTGATACGGCTTGAATAAGATACGATGTACAGCATTGCAAGGTCACGCGTGATAAAGCTCTATACTACGCATACAGCTAAAGGAGATAATCGCTCAATGCGCAATAGGTAGATTTGTTACTAAATTTACTGAAC